TGGTAACTGCTCAAACTGCTCACCTGGAGTACTGCGTCCAGTTCTGGAGCCCCCAACATAAGAAGGACATGGACCAGTTGGAGAGGGTCCAGAGGAGGGCCACGAAGATGATAAGAGAGCTGGAGCACCTTTCCTATGAGGACAGGCTGAAAGAGTTGGGGCTGTTCAGCCTGGAGAAGAGGAGGCTCCGGGGTGACCTTATAGCGGTCTTCCAGTACCTCAAGGGGGCCTACAGGAAAGATGGGGAGAGGCTGTTCAGGAGGGCCAGTTGTAATAGGACAAGGGGTAATGGTTTTAAAATAGAGGGAGGTAGATTCAGGTTGGATATTAGGAAAAAATTTTTTACCATGAGAGTTGTAGAACACTGGAACAGGTTGCCCAGAGAGGTGGTGGATGCTCCATCCCTGGAGACGTTCAAGGTCAGGTTGGACGAGGCCCTGAGCAACCTGATCTAGGTGGAGATATCCCTGTTCCTTGCAGGGGGGTTGGACTAGATGACCTTTGAAGGTCCCTTCCAGCCGTAACCATTCTATGATTCTATGATGAATCTTTTTCACACAGGGGGATTGTATTTGAGGACATGCATGTTAACCATGGGTTTTACCAAAAGCATTTCTATTTATGAGTAAAGCACACCGATTGTGAAGCCTCCTCTTTGAATTAGGTTAATGTGGATATACCTTGGACATCTTTTTAAGATCTGAGGTCTTTGTTACCCCGTTTTTCTAAAAATTCAGTTTTTTTCAGTGATGGTCGATCCTTTGGGAGAACTTCAATATCCAATGACAAAATGTTAGTAGATCTAGTCAGAAGGTAAAGGCTGTCACTTGCCTCCAGAAACGGAGTTTTGAAAATGAGAAACATACCTCCAGGATGCATTATCCCACACTGAAGGGGTTTGATTCTGAAATTTTCAGTAACACTTGCTGCTTGGCGTTCCCCGCGAGCCATCTCTGGCTCCCGTACAGCGTGCTGGCTGGGGAGAGCACGGCTGTGGGGAACCATGTCTCCTTCTGGCGACCTCCTTCTCCTTCGCTCCAGCTGCATCTCAAGCAGAGCCCTCTGCTAGCCTTGGGAAAGCTTTCCAGATACAGGTTTACCGTTTCAAATCTTTCAGTTGATAGAAATTTTCAGCTGCTTTTGTGACTGCATTGAGCACATTGCTGCCACAATAGAATGTGAGTAATTTTTACAGAGGTACCAGAAAGTTATTTTCCCCCATAAATGCATCATAGTAGAAGTTCGTGAGACCTCACATGGAGTACTGCGTTCAGCTCTGGGGTCCCCAACACACGAAGGACATGGAGCTGTTGGAGCAAGTCCAGAGGGCCATGAAGATGATCCAAGGGCTGGAGTACCTCTGCTATGGAGACAGGCTGAGAGAGTTGGGGCTGTTCAGTCGGAGAAGAGAAGGCTCCGGGGAGACCTTCCAGTGCCTAAAGGGGCTACAGGAAAGCTGGAGAGGGGCTTTTTACAAGAGTGTGTAGTGATAGGACAAGGGGAAATGGCTTTAAACTGAAAGAGGGGAGATTTTGATGAGATCTAAGGGAGAAATTCTTCCCTCTGAGGGTGGTGAGGTTGCCCAGAGAAGCTGTGGCTGCCCCATCCCTGGAAGTGTTCAAGGCCAGGTTGGATGGGGCTTTGGGCAACCTGGTGTAGTGGACGGTGTCCCTGCCCATGGCAGGGGGGTTGGAACTGGATGATCTTTGAGATTCCTTCCAACCCAAGTTTTACTTCATAGAATCATAGAATGGTTTATCTTAAATGGTGTCACTCGTATTCTCTCTCTTTTGACTAGTCTTTTGCCATCTTGAAAGTTGCTTCTTTGCCCTACAGCTGAGGAAGAAAAGGGCTGTTACTGTTCAACAGTGTTGGTGAGTTTGGATTTGATAGTCAAAGTGAGGAGCTTAGTGCTGCTTTTTTTTATTGTTTGGGAGAAATACAGATGTGATGTGGGTCATGCTGAGGAAAGTGGCTGAAGAACTTCGCTTGGAACACCTTTTACTGTGTCTGTTAAGACATTGCATTGTATTCTGGTACTGAACTGCCGAAATGTAGTAATGCTGCTGTCATCTTTTTTAAAGGCAAAAACTAACAGCACGTAAGAAAAACGTAAGGGCTAAGAAAGCACTCTGTGTAACAACGGGTTGCAGGGCCGTGGCTTTCCCCCTGCACACTCTGCACATACGCCTGTAATCTGGGAAGTTATTTTCTGGATGACATCAAGTGATGTCAGACTTTGTCAAATTGAAAATACAATGTTTGCCTAAAAAAAAAAAGTCTCTGAGCTTTTGAGCCCAAGCTAAAGACTGGAGCAGAGAGGTATATAAATTAAAAATGTACTGGATGTTTATTAGATAGCCGTCAGGGCGAGTGCGCTGAGGGGTTGAACTGTGAATTTCTGCAACTAAAAACTTGATTTATTGCACTTTGACTTAAAAATCATCTCTCCTTAGGCAGGGGACTTGTAACAGTTATAAATCTGGCACAAAGTAGACCAGTCTGGGATTGCTCCAAGACGATTGTCTCTTAACTCTATGCACATTATTCATTTTTTAGCTTCATTGTTTCACCTTTTTTTATAGAGGTGAATAACCTTTTGTTGTGGCGTAGCCCAGCGGGGAGCTGAGCCCTCCAAGACGATTGTCTCTTAACTCTATGCACGTTATTCATTTTTAGCTTCATTGTTTCACCTTTTTTTGTAGAGGTGAATAACCTTTTGTTGTGGTGTAGCCCAGCGGGGAGCTGAGCACCACACAGCTGCTCGCTCACTTTCACTGCCGCAGTGAGATGGAGAGAAGAAAATACAACACAAGGCTCATGGGTTGAGACAAGGACAGGGAGAGATCACTCACACTCTTCCCCTGCTCCAGTGCTGGGTCCCTTCCCATGGGAGACAGTTCTCCAGGAGCTTCTCCAATGTGAGTCCTTCCCATGGGCTGCAGTTCATGAAGAACTGCTCCAGCCTGGGTCCCTCCCATGGGAGGCAGCCCTTCACCAACAGACTGCTCCGGCACTGGCTTTCCCATGGAGTCATGGTCATGGTCTTCTTCAGGCACAGCCATCCGCGCTGGTGTGGGGTCCTCCATGGCTGCAGGTCTTCACAGACTGCTCCACTGTTAATCTCCAGCACCAGTGTGGGCTTCCCACAGAGTCACGATCTTCAGGTGCAGCCACCTGCTCCAGCATGGGGTTCTC